CACCGTAAATGAAGCTGAGTGATGAAAACAGCCACATTAACTACTTTTTGTAAGACTCCAAAACGAATTATACATCTCACTTTCTTAAAAATACTAGTATTGTTTTCAACAAAATGTTCAAAACACTTTCCTACCAGCTCCGGAGGGTGCTGAGGTGGTGGGCCATTTGCCTCTGTACCAAAGAACCAGGATATGGGAGGAGAAAGTAGTCACTTTCATATTTCCACCAGAGCCTACTCACACCCTTCCCATCTTCTGTTCTGAAACAGCCCCAAAGTTAAAGGCAACTGTGACCAAAAAAAAAAAAAAAAAAAAAAAAAAAAAAGCTTTGGTTTGCACAGCTAGTTTTTGGTGGGAGGACACCTGCCTTGTAGCAAACATGGTGTGTGCATGGGCTTCCTGAGCACTGTGCTGGGAGTCCAAGTTCAAGGACAACCTGGCCTTCACAGTCTGGGCCATTCAGGTGCCCTGTGCTCCAGAGAACAGAGGGGTGATATGGGGACATACTAGGGGCTGCCAAGTTGTCTGGCTATTATTGCTAGGGCCACCCAGTGGTCCCAGGGCCACCCAGCGGTGCCTGGAGGTGCTCCTTTGTGAGGCTGAGCAGGATGCCCCAGAGTCCTTCTCACAGAAGCTGCTGGACTTTGCCATGACTGGGTAGTACAGACAACACCTCCCTCACCTTCTCTGCTCTGTTCTCAGGCCACTAGTGGTTCCTCACATCCTTGACTACATGGTTATTACAAACACTAGCAATTTAAAACAAGCATCTCAAACCACAGAGGACAAGTGGCTGACGCTGGAGCTTTGGCTTCCCTCCAGAGGCACCCTCAGGCGTCTTCCTGCTCCTGCCCAGACCAAATCCTCCCTCTTCCCCTCCTTGACAACCCAAGGTTCTGACAGTGCCTCGGCTATGGGTTTGATCCCTCTTGGAGTCTGGGATGCTGGGGAAGTGGGGACAAGCCCTGAGGTCATCAGAAATGAGGGGAGGCTGTTTTATGACCATCCTCCCGCTGAAGGTGGAAGGAGCAAAAAATGTACGTCTACTACATCTGAACCCTTGTTTCAGATTCCCCTGAAGTCTCTGCTAAATCCTGCTCGTCCCTTCCCTACCCTGGCATGGTTCCCTAAGTGCCCCCCTTCCTTTCCTCAGCATCCTCACTTCCTCCAAGCATCCCACTGGCCCCCATTCTCCCTGCAGGCATCCCCAGGGCCCCTGGGACTGCTGGTAACCATCAAGCTAGGCCTGGCATTCCTGGCCCTAACCAAGATCTACTGGCCTAGTCCTGCCCAACCCGACATGCCCAGAGCCTGGCTGTGCCGCAGACCAGGGAAGATAAAAGCAGAAGCTCGCTGGTGTGCACCCACCTCGGCCACGTGGGCAGAGGAAGACCTAGTGGCTAGAGGCAGCTGGTCAGAAGCCATGTCCACAGCTGCCTGCCAGAAGGAGAGGAGGCTTTGGGGGCTGCTTCATATCCCCTGCCCCCACCGCCCCAGCAGCGGCTCTGATCACCTGCCCCAGGAAATTGTCTCAGCCACCGAGGTCCCTAAACAAGAAGGAAAAAGACTGGCCACCCTGCTTCTCTCTGCCCACTCCCTCACCACCCACCCACAGGCCTGTCTGCCAGGTCCCAGGCTGAGGAGCGGCTATTAATTATTAAAGCAAACAAAAGCATTTCCTAGCAGGGAGGCTAGCCTGCAGCTGCTTACAGGAAAGGCAGCCCCAGCTGGCTTGCCTCTTAGGGCCCTGCAAGTGCGATGGAACCAGCTCGAGGGGAGGCTAGCCGGGTCCTCCACGGGTCCCAGGCTGGGCATCACATCGGAAAGACAGGACAGCTGCTTCTGTGCCGAGCACTCTAACAAGAGGATGTGGGTCTGAAGGGGAGTCGGGGAAGCTGGGATATGGGTCTCAGAGCTAAAGTCCTATTGGCCCAGAGAGGGGACAGTCATGGCAATGGCCAGGGTCCTGTGCAAAGCTCTCCACTTGGAAGACCCTGCCAGTCTCTGCACCAGGCTTCCCTGCCCTTCAATGTTGCCTCCAGTGTGAGGATATGCAGCCCCTCTTTCTCCCCACCCCTCTTTTGCTGAGAACTTCCTTCCTGTTGGCAGATCCTCCCTACTGTCCTTAGGGTCTGGGGCTTCTCCTTCTCTAGCTTCTGTGAACCTTGGTTTTGCAAGCTGGAGAGCGGCTGCTGCCCCAGTACCTGGTTCCTGGGGTCAGGTAGATCCGGGAGACCACCAGAGTGGAGAGGGTAGCCCAACAGAAAGGAGTCTGGGAACCTTCCAACATGCACTCCTGTCTCCTTCAGCAGATGCTCTCTGCCCCCCTACTGACTGCTCGAGCCTGTCCTCATGCTGTGGACACAAGACGAACAAGCCACCCTCCTTGCTCTGAAGGAACAGGCTAGCAGGCAAGGAAGCTCGGGAGTCAGGGCACAGCTGACTGTGGCCTTAGGCAGCACTGACAACCATTCCCTTGGGTTGGCTGGGAGGGCACAGAGAGAGAGAAGGTACTGGGTAAGACTATTCGGTGGGCAGGTGGGTGCTAGGAACAGGGGAACTATTTCAAGAGCCATTGTTGAGTGACAAGTATCATACAAAGGCTGCAAGGAAACTTGGGATCAGACTGTGATGGGCCTTGAATGCTGAATCTCTGGGAGGAAGGGGGTGTCACTGAAGTTTTTAACTGAAGAGGGACAGGAGCAGAGAAGAGTTCTTTGGAAATATCGCTTTGGTCCCCAGTGCATGGCAGATGGTTTGGGGGAGTGGTGAGAGGCTGAGGTTGGACAGTAGGAAACCAGGGTAGGTTAACCATCAGCCAGAGAGGAAAGTGGTGGAGGGCATGACATCATTACAAATTGTCCATAGGCACTGAGATTAGGAGTAGGACACAGAGGGAACTTCCAGAAGCCCTGACAACCAGGTGACTGTGGGGCAAAGGAGAGCATCAAAGACAGCTAAGCAGCCTTGGGGTGGGGGTGGGGGGTGCTCCTGGGCAAGTTTCTCAGAGATGAGAGGGAGAGGAACCAGGCAGAGGTTGAAGAGGGAGGTGGGGACAGGAAAAGAAGTTTTGTTGTTGCTGTTTTAGGATGGGAAGAGCTGAGCACAAGACCAGCTGAGGATTGAGATACAAACAGGAGGGAGGCTGGGCTACTTCCGGGAAGAATGAGGAGAAAGGCTTAGCCTGTTCTCTGGAAGGAGGTGATCCAGAGTCACTCAAATGTGGAGGGGGGGTGGGGTGGGGGGGAGCCCTCTCAGGCTGTGTCCCAAGACAAGTCTCTGGAATTGGAGGCATGCAGCCCAGGCCTGAAGAAATGCCACTTTTCAAATTGGGGAAGGCTTCTGAGTCCAGCAATGTGGCCCTGGGAACTCAAATCTGACCCCCAAGCACCAGTCAAGGCCCCCATGTGAAGACAACACTACAGATGGCCTAATCCACTGGCAGAGCCTCACCCCACACTTCCTGCACCCACAGAAGCTATAGGGGCACTTGCCTCCTTCACATCTGCTTCCCCCTCATCCAACCTGCTGCCTGAGGCTGGGACACAGGAGAGGGTCAGAGAGAAAGGGGAACCTTAAACCCCAGAGGCCCCATTGGAGCTCCCTATCCACGGCTATAAGGAGCTTTCACCACACAGCCAGAGGTGGAGAGAAACATGGGGCGATGTTAAGAGATTGATTATGTCACGTTAAATAAAAAAGCCAGAACCAACAGAAAAACAACGGGATACAAAATTGTACGCATAGCACAGGGGAAAAAACATGGTAATGAGAAGAAAGATGGGAAGAAAGTGTTGACAGTAGTTGTATTAGAGAGGTGGGGTTTTGTGTCCTATTTTCCAATTTTCTGGAATATAATCATATCATGAGTGAATTAATGCAGAGGCAAGACCTTTCTCTTCTCGAAGAGATGAACTCCAGAGAGAATCCCCCCAGTGGCCCCTCCTGACAGTCATAAAAGGACGTGCAGAATCGCCGGTTCAGTCTGAGCATGAAACAAGGTGTGCTAAGGGGTAAGGCTGGGGTTGGACTCTGAGTGGTGTCCCCTGGACAGGGCAGGAGATGTGAATATATGGCCTGGGTGCCAGGCAATCCCCTATGAGAATCCCTTCAGGCTGCTGTACAGGCAGCTGCTCAAGACTCTGGGAAACACAGCTTTCACATGTCCCAGCTGTCTGCAGAGGCAGCACCTCTCCATGCTACCCCCTCCCCTGAGCCCCCCATGCACACAACTAGAGATAGAAGAAGCTGGGGGCCCTAGTGTTGTGGGGGCAAGTCAACACATCTTTAAAAACTTCCTTTCCAAATCCAGGAGTCCATCCCCCACCCAGCCTCCCTGCCCAGACTCCGCAAAGGAGTCAGAGGAGATGGGTGTGGGTGCGGGCTTCCCAGGGACACCCAGCCTCCTGCAGGACCCACCAGAAAAACACCTTGAGAAGAGGCGGGACCTGAGCGGCCCTGCCCCATTCCCAGCCCCAATCACTCTAGCTAGCAAAGCGGGCTGCCCGCCTCATCTTTCCCATTCTTCAGCCCCCTGCCGCTTCTCCAGTACAGCACACCCATCCTCCCACTGAGGGGCGTGGGAAAGCAGAAAGGGGGCTGGGTTTGAGCCCCGGAATTGGACCTGCAGAGCCACTGGGACTGCCCAGGGAGCCGGGGGTGGCCGTTCCTACAAGGCTGGTGGCTGTGGGGCTAGGCTCAGGACGGCGGGCAGGCGGGATACCTTTTCCTTAGAGCCACGGGTGGCCGGGCCCACCTGCAATAGTCAGAAGTCAGAGCCGGGACAGCCTGGAGTGGAGGCAGAAGCCCCGCCCCGGCCTGCCCGCCCCACATCCTCAGGAGAGAGCACTGACGCTCGGGGCAGGGTGGGCGGGAGAGCTTGCGGGGGCTGTCCAGAGTTAGGGCTCCCTCCAGCCCGCGCCCTAGCAGCTCTGCAAGCTGCGCGAAGGCGGCGCGGAGCCGTCCAACCCCAGAGCGCTGGGTCGCTTCCGAGCGCTTACCTCTGCGCCGCGGTGCTGGCGTCCAGGATGCCTGCGCCCTGCATCCAGGAGCGCACCGAACCCAGGCCTGCGGGCAGGAGCGGCTCTTCCTTCAGGTTCAGCCCGCCGCGGGGCAGAGCGTCCTGCGCAGGGAACATCAGGGCGCGCGGTGGGTGGGCGCCCCCGGCACGGGGGATCCGCGCCCCCTGAGGCTGCGGGCGTCTCAGCTCCCAGGGACCCGACGGCACCGACGCCTCTAAGAGGGCAGCGCAGCGCGCAGTCCCGGCGGCTCCGTGCGCACTAGCCTCTGGGGCGCTCCCTCGGAGAAAGCGGGTCCGCGAGCGCCAGCGCTGTCCCCACCCCTCCCGGGGCGCGGGGCGGGGAGATGGAGGGATTCCCCCGCGGCCTGAGCGCCGGCGGGCGGACTGTGAGCGGGGTGGGGAGGGCGGGAGCGCAGCCCGCACCCGGTCCGCGCGGAGGCGCCCCAGAGGCGCGCTCTGGCGGCTGCCCAGGGCCGCGGTCGTCGGAGGGGGGGCCCGAGCGCCCTAGGAGCTGCCTCCGGCGAGGAGGGGGCGCGGGGCTGCCCGCCCTTTTCCCCTCGCCGCCCCCACCTCCCGCCCGCCCGTGGCGCCGGCGCGGGGTGCTGATTACCATCCGGGAGGCGGAGGCTGCGGGCGCGGAGCTCGGCGGCGGCGGTGGAGGCGACAGCGGCGGCAGGGGAGGCAGGAGCAGCAGCAACCGCGCGTCCCGGGGAAAGGCAGGGGCAGCGCCGGGCCAGCAGACGCCGCCGCCGCCCGCGCCCCGCTTGCCCCGGCGCCCCGGCCCTGCCGCAGCCCCGGGCGGCAGCACCTGGAGCAGCAGCAGCAGCAGCCCGGCCGACTCCCCCCGGGGCCCGGTTCCCGCGCCGCCCCGCCGCGGCCGCCGCCGCCCGCCGCTCCCCAGGGCCTGGCCGCGGGCCCGGGCCATCCCGCCGCCGCCGCCGCTCCCGGGGGAGCGGGAGCCGAAGGGAGGGAGCGCGCGCGGGAGGAGGGATGGCGGGAGCAGGCGGGCCCAGGGGACGAGGGGCCGGGGGAGGCGGGGGCGGGGCGGCGCGGCTGGCCGAGGGGCGGCCGGGGACGTGACATCATCGGGGGAGGAGCGGCCGGGCCCGGGCCGCCGCGGCGGGGCGGACCCTGGCGAGTCAGTCTCCGGGGCTGGGGGCTGCGGCCTGGCCGAGGCAGCGGGAAGGACCGGAGGGACCTGCGGGGCCAGGGAGGCCCCGGCCGTGAGCAGACGGGGCTGTGCGGCGGGGGAGCCTGCCACGCTGCGCTCGGAAACCGCCGCCACCTCCGGGTCGCCCCAGGACGGTCCTCGGGCTCCGCAGCCTCATCTGCCTCCCCAAGTACCCGTCGCTCTTCACGCCGTCGCCCTGGTCCTGTACGTGCTGCTCTTGTTGACGCCTCCAAGCTTTTACTCTTGAAGGTCTTTGCTCCAGGCGGTCCCCCGAGCATTTCTCTGATGAACCTGACCCCGGCTTAACCTCAGCCCAGGGCTCAAACCTCTGTCTCTTAGACTGGGGCGCCCAGCGGAGTCCCTGCACCCCCACCCCCAATCCCTGTCATCCCCAGTCCTTGTTGCCCAAACTTAAAGCATTGTCCTACCAACTTGTGCCTTTCCAAAACTCTTGCTTGTTTATTATTGCAAGTTGGAGACTTAGGGCTTGGAGTTAGGACTCGGAGTCTTTCTCTTTAGCCAGAGAATCTTCCCTCTCAGATTTCATTCTTTTATGAGTTCCTGGCACGGACATCATCTTACCCTTGCCCCCGGGGTAGAGCCCTCTCTCCAGTTCTGTCCTGGTGTGTCTTGCCAGGTTTTGCACAAACCCAGAATGAGCCCAGCACTTTCCTGCAGAACAGCACGGGGGTGGCCTGCTCTGCCCTCTGTGTCACCCTCAGACACCCCCAGAATATCACTTTCCTGCCCCAACTGACTCCCACCCTCTTTTTGAGGGGCCTCCTGTGTATGTAGTTAGTGGTCTGCCCCACATGGACCCAGATGAAGGACCCCAGGGACGCTGCTGGGCCTCCTCCCACCCCAGAGGTTCCCCCACCTCCTGCCGTCCTTTTTACCATCGTTCCCTTTCCCAGTCCCCCCTCTCCATCACCCGCAGGGCCTGTCGCTCCCTCCCAGACTAACCAAGGTCTCAGCTTTTACCACAGGTGAGATTATCAAAGGAAGGTCTCTTCTTAAGGTGAATTCTTATGCCAATCTCTCCCCCTCCTTACCCGGCTCTCTAAGTCCTCGCTCCTCCCAGTGTGTTCCCTGGACCAGCAGCATTGGCATCACAGGGGAGCTAGTTAGAAATGTAGAATCTTGGCCCTGCCCAGGCCCTGCTGAATCAGAACTGCCTTTTAACAAGATCCCGGGAGATTTGTAGACACGTTACATTTGAGCAGCATTGCTCTCCAGAAACCACCCAAAGCTGTTGCATACATGCTCCACCTTCAAACCTGCCTCTGGCTTTTACATCTCTAGCAGACACCCTACCTCATACTTTACGGAGAGGAGGTAGGAATCTTGACAGGATCCTGCTGTCTCTCAGCTGTGCATCCTTTTCAACCTTTCTCAGTGTTTTCATCCATTCTCTCCTCCCTTGTACCTTGGAGAAGCAGGCACCAGGGACCTCTTTGCTCAGTCTCATCTTTTGCATCTCCTGATGCTGCTCCATATGATCTGCTTGGGTTTTGATCCTCCTTCTTTCCTCTGCGCAGAACTCCCCGCTCTTAAGAGAATCTTCCCCTTGTCCCGCCTCTTCCTCCAACTTGTGCCCCTCCTGTTTCTGAGAAAGTCCATAGACTCACTCCCCAGAACGACGCCTTCCTTGCCAGTCTGGCCTGCACTGCTGCTGTTTGCTCTTCTCTGGCCTCAGGCCCCTGACCCCCCATTCCCCCCCGCCCCCCCCCCCCACACACCTGGTGACCTGAGCACTCTGTCTCTCCTCTTACCCCTCTGAGTGCCTCAGCCCCTCTGCGCCTTGCTCCCTTCTCTCTTTCTCAGAGAGCGTTTGCTCTTCCACAGTCTCAGAGGCCATCTGTGGGGAAAAGCTCTAGTGTGGGCCTCCATCTTGCTTCTGTCAGCCCTGGACATCCGCTGGTGAGGACAGGGTTGGGGAGGAGGGGAGCCACTGCCTCCACTGAGGGTCCCTGTCATGATAGCTCTGCCCCTGGGCCGGGCCAGCTTCATCTCCACATGCCCAGGCCACATTGCCCATGGCACCCCCTCCCAATGCCCAGCAAGCTTGGGGCCACGCATTCATTTCTGATATTTTCCTCACCCTGCCCCCAGACATCTCTATCAGATCTTAAAGATTCTCCCTCCAGGTCCTTCTCCCTACCCGAGGGCCCACAGTGCATATCTTTAACAATTAAACTTATTTGTCCTCCCCTGCTCTGCACCCTGACTTGGAAGAGAGATTTACCCCAGTCTGATGACAACCTCCTTAGCTCTCTGCCTGCCCCCAGCTGTCTATCCCACAACCACCCTCCATCTTCCTGCCACAATTTTTAAAAAAGCATGCCATCACTTGCTTAGGAACTTCCAAGATTTTCTCCTGACTCCCCAAGGAGACATTTAGGGACTCAGTTAGGGACACTCAAGGCCCTTTGACGCCTGATCCAAATGTCTCTTGCCAGCCTTCCTTCCTTCCATCCCCTTGCTGTGCGAGTTTCTTATGTGCCTGATGCAGAAATCACAGTTTCTCAAACACGGTCCCACACTCTCAGCTCCACCCCTTTATGCTGGCTGTCCCCTCTGCCTGCAGTGCCCTCACTTTTGCAACACCTTCCTTCTCTGGGAGGCAACAGGGTCCACCTTCCTTTTCATAACGGTTGCAGATCTTCATGGTTCTAGAAAGACTCTTTCCAGGGTACATTTGGGAGATAGGGTCTCAGTATTACTGGGGCCAGAAAGGGAGGTCAGTCAACTCAGGACAGTGGTGCTGAGCTAAGGCCAGTCTGGATGGGCTCCTGACTTATATGGATTTCTATTCTATTCTAACCACGTGGATTAGAAAGAAACCAACTAGGATGGCGTTTGAGGCTTCTCAGGGCCTGCAGCCCCACAGAAGGGCTTAGAACCACTCAACCAAGGGATAAGGCCCCTGGGTGCCAGCTGGGCTCGGCAGGTGGAAGGCCAGGGAGCAAAATGTGGGTCAACCTTTAAGGTCAAAGGTCATCATCTTTTCTTTAGATTCAGCAAGTCTGTTTCTCGGACCTCTATGTGTGTTTTTATTTTGCATTACTTATCTTAGTTCCTTTGGCAAATTTCTCCTCTCAAACTGCGGCAGCTTCTCCATGAAGAAGGGATTTTGGGCCCTAGCCGGTTTGGCTCAGTGGATAGAGTGTCAGCCTGTGGACTGAAGGGTCCCAGATTCAATTCTGGTCAAGGGTACATGCCTGGATTGCAGGCTCAATCCCCAGTAGGGGGTGTGCAGGAGGCAGCCAATCAATGATTCTCTCTCCTCATTGATGTTTCTCTCTCTCCCTCTCCCTTCCTCTAAAAGCAATAAAAAAAAAAATCTTTTAAACAAGAAATATGTTCTTTAAAAAAGAAAAAAAAAGAAAAAAGACATCTGATGGGGATGGAAGGCTGGCAAGAGACATTTGGATCAGGCGTCAAAGGGCCTTGAGTGTCCCTAACTGAGTCCCTAAATGTCTCCTTGGGGAGTCAGGAGAAAATCTTGGAAGTTCCTAAGCAAGTGATGGCATGCTTTTTTTAAAAATTGTGGCAGGAAGATGGAGGGTGGTTGTGGGATAGACAGTTGGGGGCAGGCAGAGAGCTAAGGAGGTTGTCATCAGACTGGGGTAAATCTCTCTTCCAAGTCAGGGTGCAGAGCAGGGGAGGACAAATAAGTTTAATTGTTAAAAATATGCACTGTGGGCCCTCGGGTAGGGAGAAGGACCTGGAGGGAGAATCTTTAAGATCTGATAGAGATGTCTGGGGGCAGGGTGAGGAAAATATCAGAAATGAATGCGTGGCCCCAAGCTTGCTGGGCATTGGGAGGGGGTGCCATGGGGCCTGCTGTAGTTGTGGTTACAGAGAGCTGGAGGGCTGGTGGTGACAGGTGGAGGAGGCTGGGTCCAAGTCCACAGAGAATGCCCGACCTCTCTGGCCCAGGCAGAGGCTCACCCCAGACCACCAGCCCAGAGCTCTGACCTCATCTTTCCCTGTCATGGACATTCGTGCTCACAACCATGGGAAAGGCTCTTGTTATGTGCCTAGTGCTAGAGAATAAGCAAAGACTAAAACACAGGCTCTGCCCTATGGACACCACAGTATGGTGGTGGTGGTGGTGGTGGGGGGGGAGGGGGGCGGGGCCACTTATACCACTCAGGGTCGCTAGAGTGACCTGGGCTGTTAAAATGCACAGGCGAGCACGGGACCAGTGCAGGAGGACCTGGGCACAGGGGGTCTTGGGCAGGAGGACAAGCATAGGTAAGACTAGAACAGTTCAATGGGTGGGTCTGGGGTCCTTGCTTCAGAGCGGAAGCTTCTAGCGCCTGGAGCATCATGCTTGTGCCGAGGATGTCACACTGAGGAGCTTGGAATTTTTCCTGTCCGCCTGGCTTTAAAACAGTATCTTAAAATTTGGCAGAACTCTTCCATCCTCCCCTCTCTTCCCCCTCCCCCGCCCCCCCCCCCCCAAGGGGGTGCAGCACCAGAGAAAACAGATCTGAAGCGGTGCATTCGGCAGAAGTTGGTCCATAGCGCCCCCTAGAGGTTCCATAGTGTCAGGCCGGCACTTGGATCCACTTGACGCCAAGATCATTAAAATATAGGAAGGATAAAAAAATAATAATAACAAAGCATGCATTAAATATGGCTGTTCAAATAGCTCCACGAAGAAAACAGAAATGACGAGGG